GCTGGCCTGGCGCCAGCCCCGGGCCCGGACATCCCGCTCGCCCCGCCGCTGGCCAGCCTGGGGCGGCCCAGTGAGAAGACCCCTGCCCTGGGTTCAGCGTTTTCTGCAGAGCACCTGGAGTCCATCGTCGGCTTTTGCTTTTCTTCTTAAAAAAGGCTTTAAGTGGGTGGCGGTTACTCAGGGCCTGGCTGAAGGAAGGGCGAGGTTTGGGGGTACAATAGGCAGAGAATGAGGAAGGACAACGAATGGTGCCCCATTGCACAACAGCAGGTGGGCCTGGCTCCGTGGTGCCGAGAACTGCAGGAGGAAGTGACCCTGGCAGAGGGGTGCGGGGTGTGGTGCTGGGGGCCCCAAGCAGCCTATGCTTCCCGCCTGCCTGCGCCTGCGCGGTTTCCAGAGGGACGGTGGACGCCAGCCTGGGCGGAGCTGGATGGAGCTGAGCCTGGAGGTCAGAAGGAAGAGAAGGAAGGGAGAGGCCAGAGGCGGTGGGCTGGTCAGTAAGGGCCATCAGATGTCTGGGGGCCAGGACGTCCGGGTTGGGAGCCCCTGCCCGCATCTGGACACCCTGCGGCCTCCTCTGCTCCCCACTTCTCCCCACCCCCGACACACACACACACACACACACACACACAGAGAGCGTGGGGTTGGAATTTCTCAACGGGAGCAGAATAAACGGAGTCAGCCGGCTGCAAGGCCCTTGGCGGCAGAGTGTTTGGCAACCCAGAACTTGACTCTGTGGCTGATGCGCTCTCTTTCTTTTTGTAGACGCCTGAAAAGTTGACCCCCATTGTGAAAATAGGCGATGAATGCAGTTATTTAAATGATGGCTTCAGTGATTTTCCAAGACGCAGACACATTTATGCGATGAAGTGGGAAAAGCAGGATAGAAGGCAGGATTCTTGCCCAAAGGAGGCCTTGAAAATAATCGGAGGAAACCCCAAAATGTGAAATAGGTTTGGGGTTACAAACCTATTTTTATACTTTTCTCTCCCTTGCTCCCCATGAGAATATTTTACTTTTCTATCGAGGAAAAAAAAATCATGCTGAAGTAAAAGACAAATGTGCCTTTGTCTCAGCCCAGATCAGAGAGGGCTAGTGACCTCCCTTGTGGTAGATTTTTCAGGGAGGGGGAAATCTGGTTTCTGAGGGGACTGGTAAAAATACCCAGGGGTATTAGTTTCTCCCCAGCTGGAGCATCTTCCTCCATTGCTTCTTGCTAAAATTTGGGGAGTTTATGTTCTTTTTCTTTTTGGTGTTTATGTCCTTTTTCTTAAAAAAAAAAAAGATTTATTTATGCACGTAAGAACTGGGGTACAGGCCAGAGGTGCAGGGGCAGTGAGAGGATTCACAAGAGACAGAGTGGGGAGAGAATAGGCTGACTGATGAGTACACTGCTGAGGGGAGCAGCGGGCGGGTCAGGAGAGGTCTGCCGCGCCCTGTGGGTCCCTCCCGGCAGGGATCGAACTAGCACTGAAGTAGCTGTGGCCAGCTGCTGATCCGTTGTGCCACCAGGGAGGGCCCCTGGCTGGTTTTTACCGCCAACTCCAGTGCCACCTGCATATGCCCCTTGTCCTAAAACAGTTCCAGTGGAAGGGTCACTGTGACCTGGCTCCCACTTCTGTATTCCTGTCTTCTGGCTGGAAGCCTCGAGGCCCTTGATAGAGGACTTCCTTCTCTGGAGCTCCTCCATCTGCACAGGGCAGGAAGCCAACCTCACTGGTATTTCCTGGGAAAGATGTTGTGCTCCATGGCCCTTTGGTCGACCCCATCCTGTCTTGCACCCCACAAACCCTTGCTTATTGTACAGACGCTGTAGGAGGGCCCCCCTCACAGCTTCTTCCCTTTGGGGGCAGATTTTTCGGGGAAGCTACAGAAGCCTAAGCTCAGGGCTCCCGCCTGCCCACTTTCCAGTGGAGTGTGGTGCTCCCTCTGCTGTCTGGCTCTGGGTCATGTGCTTCTGTGAAATCTGCCGAGTAGGAGATTTTAACCTCACTGTTGAGACCTCCGTCTCCTTCCTCTCCTACTTCTCCTGTGACATACTTCTGATGGAGGGTGCTGGGGTTGCTGTGGTACTTTTGAGAAGTGCATACACATTATGTCTCAACACATTGTGGACTTCCAAGAACCTTTTCTAAGCTCACCACAATAAACATTTTGGTCAGTCATTCTAGAGGAAAGTGTGAAGTCATGATATATTTCTTCTGTAGAGACTGTTACAAAAGGTGACCACAGGCAGAAGTGAAGATGACATGGTTAGAAGTGTGGGTCACAGCTCTAGGGTGTTCCCCAGGCAATCAGACTATCACAAATACTGTTTTCTGAAATTTGCAATGTTAGTGATATCTATAGATTTTAAAGCTTTTGGAACTTGCGTGATTTATGATGTTATTTGAAACAAGTACTCATGTTGGCACCCAACTTTATAGTCTTAGTTGTGTGTTCTTGTGTATTCTTACAAAGGGGGCTCCCATATGTGATATAAACCTCAGCCTTACAAAACCTGAATTGCCTTTCTAGTCATTTGCTCCCTTCCAGCCGAATGGTTTCCCTTATGCTAATAACCTAGGGGTGCCCCACCCCCCAGGAGGTGAGTGGCAGGTGGCAGGAAGAAGCCAACTGTGGCTGATGGCCACAGTGCTTCTGCAAATGTTCTATCATACAGATGGGGGGGGGGTTTCTATCTCCCATTTCAGAGATGACGGGGAAGGGCTTAGAGCCTTAAGGAACTAGTCCTGCGTGGGTTTGCACTGGCCAGTATCTTCTCCTGCTCCCCTACAATGTAATCCGGACATTACTGGGAACGTGATATGATGGATGATACCTGGTTCTGTTTCTCTGATTAAAACCTGATTGATCATTCCCCCAAACCAAGGCTAGGTGGCATGGGATCCTAGCTGGTCCTGTCTAGTTCCAAAGTCCCTTGCATTTCACACCAAATTCTTTTTCTTGATCAAATTTCATTGATTTACCATTTGTTTACAAAACTATTTGAGTTGGAAAGCAGAATTCATGCACAGAGTATATATGCATCCCGATGGTCCTATGGCACCTGCTATGGAAGTGTCCCTCTCCACCCTCTAGGCCACCGCCTTTGATAACCACCATGTTTTTTGGAGTCCAAGATTTATTTTTGTTGTGCTTTGCCAACTTTTCCACTTCGCTTACTTACATTCCATGTGTGAATGAAGCCATCTGATAATTCTTTCTGACTTATTTTGGTTAGCATCATCACCTCAAGTTCCATCCATGTTATCTCAAAAGGCAAGAATTAATCTTTTTTACAGCTGTGTAGTATTCCATTGGAAAATACATATATTCCCTAATTTCTTTGTCCAGTCATCTATCAGTGGGCATTTAGCTTGATTCCACCTCTTGGCTCTGGGGAATAATTCTGCTGTGGACAGAGATGTGCAGATATCTTTTCACCAGTGTTTTCATATTCTTCAGGCACTTACAGAGTCAAGGTATTGCTGGGCTGGGCCATATGCTTTTTTTCATTTTTCGTTTTTAGGGAATTCTCACATTATTTCCACAGAGGCTGCACCAGTTTACATCCCACAAGCTGTGTTCAAGTATTCCTTTTTCTGCACACCTCACCAACGATTGTTGTTTCCAGTCTTTTTTTCTTTTCCAGTCTTTTTTATAACTGCTGTTCTACCAGGTGTGAGGTGGCCTGTCATTGTGGTTTTGATTTGCATGTCTCTTATAGTAAGTGCTGTTGAATGTGCCTGTGGGCCATCTGTATCTCTTCTTTGGAGAAGTCACACCCAACTTCTCATTCTGCTGTTTCACTTCCCCAACAATCAAGCGTGGCCCTGCCCATTCACTATACTTTTCTAGGCTTCCCAATGAAATCCCAAGTTGGTGGGCAAGTCTTTGAAGATGAACTTCAACAGGTTCTTCCAGGGAGGAAGCAAAGGGATCAAAATAGGGGAGGGAAGAGCACAGGGGCTGTGGTGGTGGGAGAACCCTGGGGCAGAATCAAATGCTGTCCAAAAATGAACAATGAAGTTAAGAAAATAAATAGATGAAACATTAAATCTAAAAAAAAAAAAAATCTCTATGCTGCTGCTGCTCGTTCTCAGCTGTCTGCTCACCTGTGCCCCTTCCCTGCCCACCGCCCCCTCTCCCAGGCCCTGCCAGAGTTTTTGGTTCCTGGGGCCCTGTTGGACAGTACCCTGTGTCATCATTGGTCCCCCAGAGATGACGCCTCCAAAATGCAGATGGGTAGCCCCCCACCAACCCCCCTATGATATGAGCCTCAGAAACCCTGAACTGGAAGAAAGTCTGTGAACATTGCCAGTGGAGTCTTGACTTGTTACTTATTGCCTCTGTTCCAAGAAAAGCCAGCAGCAAGGTCAGAGGGCTCGGTTATGAGCGGAAGGACAGATGCCCCCAGTCTCCGCAGCCTGCACTCCAACTCCTCACTCTGGTCCTCACAGGCCGCCACACCCTCCTTTCACCCTTCTGCGAGGCCTGCGTTCCTGTGTCCCCAGAGAGGCCACTGTAAAGCCTCATTCCGAAAATAAATCCTCTTCCCTCCTGCACACCCTCATGTGAGTGTCCCTGCATCT